GTTCGATAAAACCCGTCCATACCCTCGCGCGGCTTGTTTAGGTATGTACAGACATTTTTGTCCGCTTCGTTGATTCTTAATCGAGGTATTTAAACAGATGTATAACAACATGAAGTGTATACAGTGTAATCTACATGAAATTCATTAACAAAGCTTCCTAATAACTCCCCTTTTAACCACAGGGGGTGGTCAGAAGCGGCGACGGGGCAGGGGGAAGGCAAGCTGACAAACAGCACCCCGTAATGTGCTCTTGTTGAATTGTAAAAATCTCATTATGCTCTAACTGTCGTTATAGGAGTAATTCACAGCGAAGGACAGCGAACAGCGTTGAGTTGATAATACCTTTGAACTTATTACATTGAAATTTCCTATCTAAGAGCCAAGGATCATGATGGCTCGATATCACTGTGGTTTAGGTCTTGGCTACAGCACTTCGGGCAGCGGTGTCGATTCCCGCAAAAAGTGACTATTTGTATAACATAATTGTTTCCGGCTTGGGTGTTTGTATACAATATGCGTATGGGAAACACCTCCGTGAACCATATAATATACGACATTTGCAAAGCTTGATAAGAAGTCAGGTGCAAGTGAATGGTTTATTTGGCGCGTCATTGACCTTTTTACATTTGAAGTCTTTAATTGTTACAGATAATATTAAGCAAACTTAAGCATGCAAAAACTTAATTAGTGTCTTGTATCAAATTAGGTTCAGTTAAGATATACCAGGATTTTTGGCTTGTATGGAAGTACCTCAATACAGGCATGTGGAAATTGTAATAAATTAAGAAAAGACAATAACTTCGTTAAAAAATAAGGTCTTAACCATAAAATAAACCGGATAACTTCGGTCTGAATAATGTTAAATTAATAATTTAAAAAAGCGTGCTGCTTCAACTATTGGAGATCACAACATTGATATCTATTCCCCATTAATGTAAACAACGTTGGCCGTCAGCCCGTTAAAGTGCACTGCTTAGAATTTATTAGGTAATCCAACATATGTTACAAAATGACCTTTAAAAGAGTAGGTAAACCAGAACAACTACAGGAAGCAGCGTCAAAAGTGCTAGCCGTCCGCAATAGAAGTGTGGTGGTCACAATAGGATTGCCAACTTTTTTGAACAATAATTATAGTATTTTTCCCAAAAAAGATGTAAAAATTTATTTCTTGTATGCACACTCACGGCTTGCGTCTGCATACTTTTGATTTACCATAATTGTTGTCATGTGTGATGCTCGTACCCCATTCATCATTCGTTCAAGCTTTGTCATACTAACTCGGTTATGTATGTAGCTGGGAGATACTCGCTGATATTTTACAATAAATAAAAACAAACATTTTGAATAAAACAATTAATTAAAATCTATCGAATTTCAAATCATATCCACCCTACTTTATGAACGGCAACAAAACAATAAATTTAGTAGGCATCTTTGTCCTTGTCACTTCGCAGGGTCACAGGCCCAAGGGCAAAATAAAATTTTAATTAAACGTATGAAAAAAAATTTTTTAAACTTTTAATTCAAAGTTTTTGTTTTTATTTTTATTTTTTGTAAAATATCAGTGCCGTAGGCTTCTACTCCGTTCACATGTTACACCTTATTTTTTTTCCAGACGGTAAAAAAGTCATCCAGTATAGAACAGATAATTCTATAATGATGATGTGAAGTTACCTTTACAATTTTCGCGTATTATTTGCCTAAATTTTTAACAACACTACCCAAAAAAGAACAATTCAGTTGCAGTCAATATTTTAAAGCACTCGGAGCGAGATCTCTCGCTGCTCTAAGGATTCTCCAAACCGTCGGTAATTGCGTTTCGTTATAACGAGTTTTTTGGCGGCCCGCTCACCTATGTACCGCCGAATTGTACGGTTGGCAGAAAAGTTTATGCTTTGTGTTCGAATATTTTTTCCTTTTCGATATATGACATTCAAGTTATATTCATGCTTCAAATAAAAATGTATCAACATTTTTACTTGTAATTATCTTACATTTTATTAGCACATTAATTTAGCCTATCAAAAGTCTACTTACTGCAGAACATAGGCTTCCCTCATTGATTTCCACGAGAAAAACCACCTTCCTTTTCCGTTAAATAAGCAACATAAAGTTAAGTAAGTAACATGCAAAATTAAGAAAGTTGCGCCCATAGTTGGGAATAATATATCTACACAAAAAAAATGTACAAGCTGCACGAACACTTATATCCACAAAGTTAAAACGAAAATACACACACACACACACACACACACACAACACACACTACTTATATATCTACACACATATATATATATATATATATATATATATATATATATATATATATTTATCTTATATATAAAATTCTCTTATATTAATTATCTCAATCAATCTTAATATATATAAATTACGTGTGACGTTGTTTGTCCGCGATGGACTCCTAAACTACTTAACCGATTTTAATCAAATTTGCACGCCGTGTGCACTTTGGTCCAACTTGAGAGATATGATAGTTTTTTGCCCATGAGTGACCCACAATTTTTTTGCGATTTTAAGGATTTTTAAGACATGACAAAGGGTCGTCAAAAAGGGCAGAACGTCTGCCTGGCGAGCTAGTTATATAAAAGAGGATGTTTGTATATATGAAAACGTTTAACTCAAAATCTATTTGATCGATCACCATGAGAATTGGTATATAGGTACGAGTAAATAGGTATGTATTTTTCAATGGAGAAGGTTTATATTTATAAATATTTTTTTAGAAACAAATTTAAAACTTTTTGATTGTTTGCTTTTTTCCAGTTTCAAAATGTTTCAATTTCTCTGTAAAATTTTGAAATATTGTGTTTAATTAAAAAATAAATCTGCATTTTGTATTGGGAACATTTTCGCGCGTAATTTTTTTAAAGATTTTACATGTCGTCTAACCTGACGAATCGTTTGATAGACTTCAATCAACTACAGCGCAGTCGAATAACTTTGAGAGGTGAAGAAGGAAGTGGTCGCCCGTTGTTACGACATCGAATTAGGATCAATGCCGAATGGTATAGTGGTAATATATAATATATACTACCAGTATCTTTCGGTCATATATAATGCTTACCAAGTGTTCATTGCTGTGAGCCACGAACAAACAAACACAGGGCATTGAATTATTTTATTCCTTAAAAAAATCATTTGAAAGAGGGTGTGGTTTTCACCGCCGGAAGATGTGCTATCAGCGTTCGGGCAGTAGTAACAATCTGTAGAAGAGGTATATGAGATAGAGTGGAAAAAGTGATTCAGACGCATGAGACTTTATATAGATGCTGTTGGAGAGCTATTTAAAAAGATTTAAGAATAAACCTGGACACATGCAGCAAATTTCAAACAAAGAACGCCACAGAAGGCTACGGTTCGCCATCTTCGGTTGCATCAAGTGGTAAGTAATCAAGAACTGGCCTTATATCGTCAAAAATGCTTCGTCACCTCCGAGGACTAAGATGAAACACAGCCTGGCAATACTGGCTCTATATACTCTCCAAACCGGAACACAGCAGTGCAAGCACTGCTATTTGACGGCATAATAGTTGTTACTTTCCCAGGCGGACTAATAAACAGAAAAGGAGTCCCCATCCATTAAAATCGAAATCATCACATTTTATAATAAAAATCATTTGAATGCAAAGCAATTGAATTGATGATGATGAAAATAATTACAAAGACGTGAAATTTAGCTAAATTTAACGCAATGATTTCAAAAGGAAGGATAGGCCCATCTAAATATTTTACTCCAAACTTTTTCATACAAAAAAAGTAGCGCATCTGTCATAATACAAATGTCATATCATAACACGACGTAACCAGGGTTGGATTTCGTAGTATAATCATTATCCTAATTGTACCATTATCTCATAATTTGTAGTATGTAGTATCGTAATAATACTAAGCGAAAATACCATAATTTTACCTAAAGGTCGACTTGTATTATTATCGGGTCCTTTTACATTTTAATATTACCCCTACGATATCGAGAATTTCCGTATTGTACATGAGTACCGCGTTTTTTTAATAAAATTAGAATTAGCTCCCTTTCTGGTCAATCGGTGCTCTATCGATGCATTTATGTTGCAATCTTGATACAACTATAATGACGGGCTACCACGATAAAAACTCTAAACTCTAAGCAATTGGTTTGAAAACAGAATTTCAAAATATTTTATGAATCAGATTTTCAGATTCAATTAAGCAGAAATGGTTTCTTTTGTACTCTTTTCATTTTACCCTCATTGAATATAAAATATATTAGGTACCAATATTCAAAATTTTACTTACACTAAGCTCTTTAGAAATAATTAAACAGAAATAAAAATAAAACCGGCAAAAAACGAAACGTATAGATAAAATAGACGCGTGACGCCAAAATCCCGGCAAATGGGAAAAAAGAAACATGAAACGTCAAACGTGATATAATTTTTGAAAAATAGTATACCTAATTTTATTTTCCATGTACAATATATTTGAGGGTCTGAATCTAACCCTGGCCTAATCTTGGTTTAGGTAATTTCTTTTTACAGTAAAAATAATGGTAATTAAAATAAATAAAGAACATAAGTCCTGCTTTATAGTCAGTTTAGTTAGTATGCAAAATTTTACGATCTAATTTAAAGTATTTTGTGAATACCAGCGGTTTATTGTTCGGTTTTGATTTTTTTTATCGAGAAAATTTTTACGGAATCGTGTTTTCGTCTAACATATTTTCATTAACATTAATCCACAACTTTACCATTTCCATCATTTCAAAATTAATGCTGCAATATTTTCGGCATAACGGAGGATCTTGCTAAGCCATTTGAGGTAGTATAGGCCCTTAACTGATGATGTCCAAATACTCAAACGCCAGATACTCAATTTTAAGATGCCGTTAAGTTTCGTGCTGTCATTATCATGTCAATGTGACTACACAAAAATTTTTGTAGCGGTTGGGTATTTAAGCAGGGAGGTAAAAAAACAACATGATAATTTATAAACATATTTACTCAGTCAAAAGTTAAGTCGATTGTGTCCAACATATTCTCAAATTTATCATCCATTTCAAAGTCCTTTGGTGATTCGTCTTTGTTCGGTATATCCTTAACAGACTCCACCTCCGGCTTGGATTGAACAGGGGGGAGCTCTTTTAAAATGGGCAATGCTGTAGCATTTGTTTTTCTTCGCTTGTCCTTCGATGTCGAAGGTTGATTACTTTGTATCGTATTCAAATGCGTTTTCTGCAATTAAAGAAATAAATTGAACGATAACTGTGAGGGATATTTGTCATGAATTATTCAACATGGATCAGAGTACCTGCCTTCTAGGCGGCAGATTCTATTTTTTTTTTCAAAGTTGTCAAATCATACAAAACTCTTTTAGTTTCCAGTTTTATACCACAGGGATTTCTGATAGGTCTGTCATCTCTTTTGCATAGAAGTTCATCTACCACCAAGCAGCAATTGCATCGCAGTGCATCGTGCCAAGGAAAAGAGTACCAGTATAATAACAGATTGTAAGGCTATTTCTTTTTCATCAACCTTCAAAGTCCACATGACCTTCTCCCATTGTAGGGAGGATATGCTGTAATTATCACGCTTGGCAGCTAGATCAACAACGCTTGACGCTACTCCCAGGTGCCGGTGTTAGTGATATACGTCTGGCGAAAACGAGATGATTTAAGTATTCTATGTTAACGAATTAACGATATACAGAATGTCCTGAAACTCAAAGTCAAGCGGGTACGGGGCAATAAGCTAGGTTGTACCAGTTCTAGCACACAAAAAAATCCATGTTACTTGGTTAAGTGATAACAGGTACACTTTTGAAAATGTTGAAAATCAACACCCTAGATCACCCTTTTATCCCTAATTTTATGGCCTTCTCATTCTACGTACCTAAATACACTTGACTTCTTTTACTGGGGCTGCATAAAGGAAAAAGTGTACTTGAATCCAATAAAAATCTAGCCGAACTACGCCACAAACTAGCTGAAACAGCAGAGGAATAAACTCAAGGAGATACGCACGATTAGTGAAAACATATTTTCTGAGTCGATGCAGAGCCTGTATTCGTGCCGAAGATAAACAATTTAAATATTTAATGTAATGTTATGAGAAAATACATGTATTACAATACCTCCTTTCTTGTTATATTGTTAACTTTTGCCATAATACGACAATATGGCATCATTATCATACTTTGATATCTTGTTGTTCGAGTTTTTTATGCTCTAAATCCATACTTAATATTATAAATGCGAAAGCCTGTTTGTTTGTTTGTTTGTTTGTTTCTCCATCTTTCACGTCGCAACAGAGCGTCGGCATGGCATGATTTTTTGTATGGGGATAGTTCGGTGGCTGTAGAGTGACATAGGTTACTTTTTTCCGCGGAAAAACATCTCACGTCCGTGGGAAAATCGAATATGTTGCACAAGTTTGTCCTTCTTTGACGTCGCAACAGAGCGTCGGCATGGCATGATTTTTTGTATGGGGATAGTTCGGTGGCTGTAAAGTGACATAGGCTACTTTTTTCCGCGGAAAAACATCTCATTCCCGTGGGAAAATCGAATATGTTGCACAATTAAATTCAGGTAGGTGGCGCCACCGTGATTCTACAAGACGGACGACGGTACGATGGACCAACATAGAAGGTCAGAATATCTGGATTGTTATGTCTCTTTACCAAAATTAAGATAAAAAAAATGTATGGATCTGTATTTTTCCACGCAGGACCGGGAAGAGAGCGATAAAAAACATAAAATTCACCAGCTGATTTTCTTCAAACGTTTTGGTGCATTGTAATTCACAGAATAGGCGATAACCTCGCAGACGATATTAAGTAATCCGTTGATGCCTACTACTCTCTGCCTGCCTACCCCGCAAGGGTTACAGGCGTGATTATAAGTATGGATCAGAAATACTATCACCACCTGTCACGCTTTCACCCTTAACTATTACTTAACTGTGGTAGAAACAGTTCTTAGTAAGCCTTATTAATAAGCATTAGTAATATTTATTGAACGGAAATGAATACAGTTCTTATGTGGTTATGAATGAATCAGTATTACAATAAGAAAAATTGTGCAAAATTATAAGAAAAATAATTTTTGAGAGTTCTTATTAAACTAACGTATACATAGTTTAAATTGATTCCGCTAGATGTCGTTACTAGGTTTTTAAAACGCGGTAACGAAATGTTTCCTGACATGTACTTAACTTCCGCCGTTAAGCCACTCTACGCTTAAATTGTTTTTATTTCGTAGCTTATTCGACTACCTGCTTTCGATTTCGGTTGTTTGTTATTTGCTTTGTGATTTGGTTAAGGTTGAATGGATTTATATTGGCTTTCATTTTCGGATTTGTGTATTTTCTTGGATCGGTTTTGTTGATTTGGTTGGTATTCCTTTATACATATTTAGACTCTGGCTTTGATTTTGGATTTTGTTTATTTAGAATCGTGAAATAGTTTTCGTTGTTTTAGGTTGTTTAACAATATTTCAAAGGAATATTAATAGTATAGGTACTGTATACGGTGCCTATACACTTACTTCTTTTTTCGTTTGTTATATTTATATTGACTACTGCTTTCGATTTGTTTTGTGATTTGGTTTACGTTGATTCGATTTTTTTTTGGCTATCGTTTTCGGAGTCGTTTAGTATCTTGAATTGGTTTTGTTGTTTTGATTTTAAAAAATATTTAAAAGGAATATTTATGCCTTTTAAATATTTTGGATCTGCTTTAAAAAAATATTTAAAAGGAAATTTAATTCATTTTAGGTATTTTAACGTTTTTTCTTTAAATAGGTTTTTTGTTACTTCATAATGCCTCGCAAACGTAAGTCCAGCCTTTCAAGAGTATCTTCTCAAATACAAGCGAAAAGATTAGCTCGATCGCTAGAATATTTAGAAGACGCTGAACTGAGAAGGCAAGAACAAGCAGAGCGTCAGGCTGCTTTTAGAGCATCTGAGACACCTTCTGAACGTTAGCAAAGGCGTCTTGAACAGACAGAGCGTCAGGCTGCCTTAAGAGCTTCCAAAACACCTGATCAAAGTCAGCAAAGGCGTCTTGAACAGACAGAGCGTCAATCTACTTTAAGAGCTACTGAAACACCTGATCAAAGTCAGCAAAGGCGTCTTGAACAGACAGAGCGTCAATCTACTTTACGAGTTACTGAAACACCTGCTCAAAGTCAGCAAAGGCTATTCGAACAAGCGGAACGTCAGGCCGCCTTAAGAGCCGCGGAAACACCTGATGAAACTCAACACAGACTCATTGAGCAAGCTGAACGTCAATCTACTATAAGGGCATCTGAAACACCAGAACAGACACAGGCGCGAAGAGATGCAAATGCACAGCTCCAAGCTGAACGTCGACAAAATTTTCAAAGAAACAATTGGTCGGTTTTTAATGACGCAGCATTCAATTACGATCCGTTGATTGATTATAAAAATCACAGGTTAGTTGTTATCGGACTGATGGACAAGGCGTGTCCATTTTGCAGCGCTTTAAAATGGAAAGATGAGACGGCAGGCATGTGCTGTTCCAATGGCAAAGTGTCTCTTCCGTTACTTGGGGAACCAGAAGAACCCTTGAAAACTCTCTTTTTATATGATGCTAATGAGTCACGGCGCTTTTTAAATAGGATCCGGAAGTATAACTCATGCTTTCAAATGACGTCCTTCGGAGTTGACCGGGAAATAATAATGCCGGGATTTTCGCCTACATTTACGGTGCAAGGGCAAATTCGTCATAGAATAGGTTCACTTTTTCCAGCTGAAAACGAACAGCATATATTTTTACAAGTATATTTTATGGGTGACGAAGAAATTGAAGTAGACCGTCGTTGCCAATTTATCCAGGGAGTTGTGTTCAAAATTCAAAGCTTCTTGCATGAACGTAACATTTTAGTAAAAACATTTAAAACTGCTTTAGAAAACCTACCTGAAGAGGATTATAAAGTCGTCATTTACGCAGATCGGAGCCCTCGAGGAGAGCATGAAAGGCCCTACAATGCACCTTTGATGAACGAAAAAGCAGCCGTAATTAGTGGTGATCAATTTTCTTCACGAGACATTGTCTTGCGAGCACGTGATGATACGTTGCAACGGGTAGCCGATACACACAAGTTTTATGACGCTCTGCAATACCCATTGATTTATTGCAAAGGACAAGAACGTAGTATCATTTTCAAATTCCACTCATTAACCCGGTCACAAAAGAGCCTACTCCGTACAAAAAAGTATCATGTATGGATTTTTATGCGTATCATATGATGTTGCGACAAAATGATTTTAACCTCTTAGCCCGGTATAGACAATTATTTCATCAATTTTTGGTAGACATGTATGTGAAGGTAGAAAGTGAACGTCTCCGTTATATATCTTTAAATCAAAAACAGCCGCGCGTTGAGAATTATGTACATTTACAAGATGCAGTTTCCAGCGACGCCAATGTAAACCCCAGAGATTTAGGTAAAATGGTAATTCTGCCCTCATCATTCGTTAACAATCCCCGCTACCTACATGAGTACACACAAGACGCATTCGCCTATGTACAAACTTACGGAAGACCTGATCTTTTTGTTACTTTTACTTGCAATCCCACATGGAAATAAATAATCGAGGAGCTAATGCCGAGCCAAAAAAGTACTGACAGACACGATTTAGTTGCTAGAGTATTTAGATTAAAAGTACAAAAATTAATGTATGTAATTAACAAAGGGAAAATTTTCGGAGAGGTGCAGTGCTTCATGTATTCAATTGAATGGCAAAAAAGAGGATTACCGCATGCCCACAATCTAATATGGCTTAAAGAGAAGTTGCGGCCCAGCCAAATAGACGACATAATAAGCGCCGAGATTCCGGATCCTGATCAAGATAAAGAATTGAATGATACCATCGTCCGAAATATGATTCACGGTCCATGTGGAGCACGAAATTCAATATCGCCATGTATGAAAGAAGGAAAATGTACAAAAAATTCCCTAAACAGCTATTAAAAGAAACAGTGCACAATGACAATGGCTACCCTTTATACAAACGCAGAGCTCCCGAAGATGGTGGCAGGAAAGTTACAATCAAATCTAGCTCTGGAGCGTTCGAAACCTTAGATAACAGATGGATTGTCCCATATTCGCCCATTCTATGTAAAATGTTTAATGCCCACATTAATGTAGAAGTATGTAGCTCTGTCCGCGCAATCAAGTATATCTGTAAGTACATAAATAAAGGAAGCGACCAAGCAATATTTAATCTCAGGAGTAAAGGTGAGGCAAATCCCGTTAATGAAGTACAGACCTTTCAAGCAGGGCGTTATGTTAGCAGTAACGAGGCAGCGTGGCGTCTCCTTGGCTTCCCTTTACACGAAAGGCACCCAACAGTTACTCACCTTGCTGTGCACTTAGAAAATGGAGAGCGTGTATATTTCACCGAAAGAAATTTCCAAGAAAGTATTGCATCACCGCCAAAAACTGCACTAACAGCCTCTTCAACTTTGTCAAACCGACCCCTTTGCAAAAACGTTGTTATATTCTGAAGTCCCCTGCTATTATACTTTGAACACATCTAGGAAGGAGTGGAAACGCCGTATTCAAGGCGCGCCTGTTGCAAATTGGCCCGGTGTAAAGTCATCAGATGCCCTTGGCCGTGTGTATACCGTCCATGTAACTAATTTTGAATGTTTCTGTTTACGATTTCTGCTGCACCATGTTCGGGGTCCTGTATGTAATGGGAGGAATGGTGGTTTTACTGGCTGGTGACTTTCGCCAAACTTTGTCATCAAAGGGCAACCTGCAGAGTGAAATTAAAGCATGCCTCAAGTCGTATATTTTATGGAACAAGGTGACAAAATTCAGTTTAACTACGAATATGAAAGGTCAATCGACGGATTCAACTCGGCTGGGCAGCGTTCGGGAAATTACGACATATCTTCTCGTCAGGTATACCTCAATCTCTAAAAACTAAATTGTACAACCAGTGCGTGTTGCCAGTGATGACTTACGGATCTGAGACGTGGTCCTTCACTGCTGGCCGTATGAGGACGCTCAAGGTCGCTCAGCGAGCTATGGAGAGGGCTATGCTCGGAGTTTCTCTGCGTGATAGACTCAGAAATGAGGATATCCGCAGTAAAACCAGAGTGACCGACATAGCCCAACGGATTAGTAAGCTGAAGTGGCAATGGGCCGGCCATATAGCTCGAAGAACCGATAACCGATGGGGAAGAAAGGTTCTCGAGTGGCAGCCTCGTACCGGTAGGCGTAGTGTAGGGCGACCCCCACTAGATGGAGTGACGACCTGGTAAGATATGCAGGAAGTCGATGGATGCAGGTGGCTCAGGACCGTGCTTTGTGGCATTACTTGGGGAGGCCTATGTTCAGCAGTGGACTTGTGAAGGGCTGTAATGATGATGATGATGATGACGAATATGAGAGTGCATTTGTATAAAGATATCAATGCTGGAAACTATGCTGACACACTATTATAAATTGGCGATGGGCGGTTGGAAACGGATGCTGAGGGCTGCGTTAAATTGACGAGAGATTTTTGTAATTTAGTACAGAGTCATTCCGAATTAATTGCGAGCGTTTATTCAGATTTAACGAACGACATGCATGAAGACAAATGGTTATGTGAAAGGGCGATTCTTGCACCAAAAATTGAGGGCGTTAACAAAATAAATTCAGATATATTAAGCGAGGTAGCAGGAGAAATAACAGAGAATTTGTCAGTAGACACAGTTATGGACACAGAACAGAGCACTTCATATCCGGCAGAGTTTCTAAATTCTCGAGTTGTCAGGTGTGTCACATAAGCTTCAATTAAAGTTAGGCGTCCCAGTCATGCTAATGCGAAATTTAGATGCTCCTCGGTTATGTAACGGGACAAGGCTGCGTGTGACACATCTTGGACGGAACATAATCGGTGCTACAATTTTGACAGGCGTAGGAAAAGGTGAAAATGTTATTATACCACGGATCCCTGTAATTCCCACAGATCTTCCCTCTCAATTCAAAAGGTTGCAGTTCCCTATTAAGCTCAGTTTTGCAATGACAATTAATAAAGCGCAAGGACAAACGTTACAGGTAGCGGGGGTCAACTTAGAAAAACCGTGCTTCTCTCATGGTCAGCTGTATGTAGCATGTACGCGTGTGTCAAATGCCCAGAATCTCCAAATTCTTTCGCCGAATGGGAAAAAACATATAACATTGTGTACAGTAGCGTCTTAAAATACTGTTCAGTTTTTTTTTCCAAAATTCCCACAATCAATTAATAAGAATTCCCACAGACCTTCCCTTTCAATTCAAAATTTCCTATTTAGCTCAGTTTCTTTTCAATTCCAAACGCTGCACCTCTGACGTACCTATTAAGCTCAGTTTCCTTTCAACTCAAAAGGCTGCATCTCAGACGGATCTTTTATTTGGCTCAGTTTCCTTTCAATTCAGAAAACTGCATCTCTGACGAATCAATTTAGCTCAGTTTCTTTTCAAAAGTCTGCATCCCTGATGCATAATTGTGCTCAGTTTCCTTTAATTAAAAAATATCCCATTTCCATTTGGAATAAACAGGCTATTTTCATGCTTTCCTATACGCTGCGTTTCAAAACATTTAAATAGGCTGACGAAGTAATTTTGCTCAGTTTCCTTTTAATGGCTGCATCTCTGACAAATCTATAAAACTCAGTTTTCTTTCAATTCAAAAAGCAAAGGATAGTTCATTTCCCAGTGACCATGCGGGCGAAGTCGCGGGTAACAGCTAGTTGTTGATAATCGTCATAATATTTTTATGAAAAGATAAGTGTTCCACTTATGTGTGTGTGTGTGTTGTTGTGTGTTGAAATTTTAATTAAATGTACCATGTTTTAAAAAAACAAGTTAATTGTACGTACATTCGAATGATATAACCCTGTATTTACATTTTAGTTTTTTTTTTTAAATGGTTTTATGACATAAAATACAATTTTGCCAAAGTAAAATATTATTCTTTGACGACGAAAACATTCGATCTTTCAGTAAGTACTTACTAATAACGCTTGAAGCACTCGAAAAATCAACGCTGACAATTGAGTGAAAGCAGGCGTAGACGTCGGGTAAGTTAATAATCATAAATAATAATTATGGAACGCAAAACTCTAAATTCGCCGGCTGTTAATAGGATTTCAATTAGAAATATCATTTTAGTCTGAAAACAGTAATTGCATAAATAAAATCGTCCATCACGGGGTTAGTTAGTCATTCAGAATCGTATTTAAATTAAAATTGGTGCTAAAATAACCGGAAAGCGATTCATTATTTCCGAATGCACAGCGAGTAGTCCGGGCAGCGCAGCGGTGCGATGAATAAACATACGGATCTAATCATAGGCCAGTGGCGGTATAATGTCGACTGCGTTCATTTGTAACTGCTACACGTGAATTTACTGCGTTTTTATTGTTTGTATACATAATTATAAAGATTCTTCTTTTACACATAATTATATAAAGATTGAAACCAATAAAGAAAACCAATACGCTTAAATAACATTCGAAAGAAGACGATAAAATAATTGGATAAAGCCAATATAAAGGCTCAAACTCCTTATATTAGAAACACACATTTCAGGGGACTTAAAAGCGCAAGAATTTTCGGAAAATCTACTACGAATATGTGAAGGCACCTATCCAATAGATAAAAATTGTACTGACAAATGAATTATGCAATGTTGTTGAGCCACCCGAACAACAACGGGATATACCCGAATATTTTGGATAATTATACTAATTCTGAATGGTTATGCGAAAGAATTATTTAAGCGACGAAAAACGAGATTGTCAACGAAATCAACAGCACTATTCAAGAAATGATTCCAGGAGAAGACAAAACTTACATGTCGATCGATAAAATGACTGATGAAGATAAAAACGTCAATTTTTCTACCGAATTTTTGAATTCTCCGGAGCAGTGCCACCATGGAGGACGGAATTAAGCACAGGTGAAATTAATAAAATCGTGTTAAGATATCGGTTTACAATCGGTACTGATACATTAACACAATGAAACCATACGTTAAAAACGATTCCCAACAAAACCACAAAATAGCAGTCGCACTGCAGACTCGAAAACCTTTAATTTGCTATTATTCGTTACTTTGCGGAAATTATAAGCTAAGATTGAAATGCAAAATACGGTAAAACACATAATTTAGGATTTCATTTTACGTGGTAGAGCCGTACTGCAGCTATATAATAGTTGTAGCACGAATGGGTCGTCAGAATACCAGCGTAAAAGAACATCTGAATGCTGGTGTGTTTCGTGTGGTGAGTGTAGAGAAGCGGAGACACTTTTTAATGGATACGAGGCATTCCATCTTAGTACTAAGGGGTTACAACGCATCTACATTTTAATTCGTAATTGACGTAAATGTGGATGGTGTGTGTGGAATGTGTATGGGGCACGGCGTCCACTTAGGTACCATCAGGTGAAATGTGTGCTTGTTTGTCACCCTTATTCTATAAAAAATGTTCACGTATATTACAGTATAATTTGTGCACGTTGATTTTAGCCACTTCTTTTGAATTTCTAATAATTTATCATTATCGTTAAAATAAGTGAATAAATTCACATAATTTTTCCTTATCACATGTTATAAGTTATAACCAATTAAATGAAAGCATTTTGATCACACGGCAATCGTTGTGTAGTAAGAGAATCCTCATTTTAAAAAGATTATTGTAAGTATTGTAACTATGCGTTTCACAACTTTCAACAGAATTATCGAACTGCGGGTAATCTGATATTTTTAGAATACTCATATTTTAAATCCTAGCGCTCGAAGAAATTCCTTATTGCTTTTTGTTATTTTTTTATCTTTTCAGGTCTGGATCGTTTAAGCCCGAGGGTGTCGTGAGCGGCGACGGAGGGAAACTGAAACTGAGATATCTGCAGAATTTTTTGATAACAACTTAAAATAATAAAAACGGTTGCCAACCCACCTGCCAAGCATGGTTAATATCCAGCCCATGAGCTACGGAGCAATCTATGGTTTATGTAATAATAATGACAATAATCATTATTTTTATATCATTATGTTTATGGCTGAATGAGCTGATTCCTTTGCCTTCAAAAAATATTTTATCGTTTTACGATTGTTTTTGCACACAATTGGTCGAATTTCGATCACAAGCGATACAAGTATTAACTTACAAGTGAAGGATTTCTCCGCACCAATAACTTGACGTCATCAGCATTTATCGTACTTCGTTTTGCATGTCTGTAACATTATAAAAGGTCAAATTTGTTAAGAAATGACCATACATATATAAGGATGGTGACGATAGAAGAGAGTGCATCACCCCAAATTATCCCGTGTGTGTCATAAGAAAGCCAGAAAAGTCTTTGGCCTTCGATATATAGCGGTATAGCCATATCGTATGGATCAGATATTTTTTTTATAGAATTGCAGTGACAAACGAGCACATTGTCAATCTGACGGTAATTGGATGCTGTAGCCCATAGACATCTACATTTATCCTCGATTAAGAATAAAAATGCAAATGCGTTGTCACCCCTGAGCCCTGAGGACTACGATGGGATGCCTCGTTCCTAGTGAAAAGAGTCTACGGTCCTCACCATACGAAACAAAGCAGCATTAAACTGCTATTTTATCCTGGTATTCTGTGAGCGCGTGGTCCTTCCCCGTTCTAGACGACCTATTCGTGCTACAACCATAATATAGTTGCAGCGTGGCTCTACCACGTAAAAACATCTACCTAGATTGACGACGGGGAATAGCGTAAAGTGCACGAACATCTTGTTATGTAATCGCCAATTACCTATCTAGCTAGCGTTGCGATTATGAAAAACTGGAGAGGTTTTACAGGCTGACAAAGATATAAAATCATCCGACCATAATGGAAAAAGATAGTTTGCATCAGTGCGTATTCAGCTGCAGCAAGTTTAATAATTGTTCATACCAGAACGTTATCGAGGCTAGTCAATATTTTCTTAAAAATCTCTACGGAAAGCCAGTTACAATGATTACCTATAATTATTATTACTACTGGCTGGTAACCGGCGCGTAGAAAAAATAATTGTAGAACTATCTTTTATAATAATGTTTTCTTAAATATTTACGCTAACACTATACGCATTGAATAAAATTATTTATAATATGGATTTTAAACGCAATAAAATCCGTATAAATAGTTCATATTCAATGTATCGTTTATAATTTAAAAGAGAAATATTGTTTAATTAGAAATGATAATACATTAATTGAAATTGAATGATATATTATAACTTTCAAATAAGTTTGTGGCGGCGCTGTCGTCGCGCCGCAAGCGAAACATACCGAAGCCTAAATCACGCTATCAACATTCCGAATCATAAACAGCATATATAGAACATCTCCGAACTATCACACGGAGCGTCGGCTGCTCCCCGGGCAGAACACCTTGCCCGGCGGGAATTCTCCCCTTTTCCTACTTCGGCCACAGTGGTGACCATCCGACGTGATCTGAACACGCAACCCAAAAACCTTCGGACACTACAACTTCTCAAGCCTTCGTCATTATCCTCAAGAACCCCTACCATTCACTACTGAGAATAGTCTTCTGCAGTCGTCAGTTCCTGCAAGCCAGTCCAACTTGTCTTCGTCTCGACTCACCGCAGATTTTATAAGGCAGACTTCTGGCACTTGCTCCGGCAAATCGTTCTCACCGGCATCACTTGCCAGTGCGTAGTACGGCACGCATTACACATCGGCATATCATTCGCACCGGTGTCACTTGCCCTTACGCACACAGCATTCCCCACCGGCATTAAGGACGCACCGGCAATCGGACTGCACTATCGACCTCTGGTCTGAGCAGGGGGTGATGTGGCGGCGCTGTCGTCGCGCCGCAAGCGAAACATACCGAAGCCTAAATCACGCTATCAACATTCCGAATCATAAACAGCATATATAGAACATCTCCGAACTATCACAAGGAGTGTTGGCCGCTCCCCGGGTAGAACACCTTGCCCGGTGGGAGATCTCCCGCCTTTTCCTTTCACGGCCACAAGTTTGTCGGTAGGATACACGCGCGCCACCTACTGTAAGGTCTGTAAGTTAATTGTATATTATCTAATATGCCTATAACTTTCGTTCCTGCCTCGTTGGTCTAGTGGTTGTAGTAGTGCGACTGCTGATCATGAGGTCCTGGGTTCGAATCCCGGGTCAGGCCAAAAAATAAATTATTGAGTTTTTCCGTCAAGAAATTCTCAGTAGTTGCCCGGAGTCAGGAAGTTGCCCATGCCTCGGAGAGCACGTAAAGCCGTTGGTCCTGCGCCTGATCTCTCTCCGGTCGTGTCAGTTTACCGTCCCATCGGATTATGAGAGTGAGGGAATAGAGAGTGCACCTGTGCTTGCGCATACACTTGGGCACTATAATCCTGTGCGCCGATGGCTCCATTGAGGCAGGCCGCCGTGGCCGAAATTCGGTCTGGAGGACATTATAACCTTCGCGCAAGTGCAAGCAATAAGTTGACAAAATTTTAGTGCAATCTGATGGACGGTGTAGCATCGCATAAAATACGAACACACAAACATTAATTTTCATATGTATATTAGATTTGATCTTTATTGCACACATTATAAAACATACAAAGGTTTACAATAGGCGGTCCTCTTCCAGACAACCAATAAATGTACATGGTAATGTCCAAAATTTCAAATGACCGAAACGAACGAAATCTTCGAATATAGTCGAACGACATGCGGGTTCGGCTATACGATATACTGGGTAATATAGTAACACTCGCTGAAAAATATCACATGTATTACATTAGACATGTGATATTTTAACTATTAAGCTAATGATTATTATCATTCAGCAAAACCGGGCACAATTACTGTTTAATAAGACCAGCAGTACGACTATGTAACTCTGACGGAACTCGTATTTGGCTTCGTTTTGACGCTTGACTTTTGGTTTCGTTCGTCATCAGCATCGTTTATTAACCTTAAATCTTTTTTTATATCTTTCTAACGTTACATCCTATCAAATGTACACAGTTAAACATGGATCTCTCCATAGATTTTCTCATATTTGTTACATAGTTGCCATACTTGAAAATAAAGCTCGGCAGGCGGCAACCGCAGTTTATTACTTGCTATTAGGAAGTCACTGCTGCCCTTTACCTGTTTATATATAAAACATAAACACTCACGCCTGTAACCCAGAGGGGTAGGCAGAGACTAAAGACTTCCATTTGACACGATCCTGAGACACCTCCTGCACATTCATATACCTACCATATATGCTCGTCGGTTAAGGGTACTCTTGTTTATATATGTACCGCTTATTCCCCTCTTTCACCTCCTAAGACACCCACGGGACGATATGGGGTAGTGGATATTCTGACACCACTACACGGTCAATTTATATCGTCTTGTTTAATAAGGTCATAAATATAATTATAATAATGAAACGTGACGTAGTTGAGTCCCACCGGCGAACGAATATATTTTTTATAGAATAAGGGTGACGAACGAGTACACAGTCCACCTGATGGTAAGTGAATGCTGTGGCCCATACACATCTACATTTATCCTTGACTAACAATCAAAACCCAGATGCGTTTTCACCCCTGAGGACTAAGATGGAATGCCTCGTTTCCAGTAAACAATAGCAGCCGGATCTCTACACTCACCATACGAAACACAGCAGTATTAAGCTGCTATTTTACGATAGTATTCTGTGAGAGCGTGGTCCTTTTCCGGTCGAGCCGACCCATTTGTGCTACAATATATTATAGCTGTACTTTGCCACGTATGACTTACGTACCATTTCCACTAGAGTTACACAATCACACTTTAGAAACCAACAATTAGTGTTTTGCTCAAATATTGGCTCTTGCTATTTAGTCAAGTACTCTACTAACCACTCGACCACGCTGTCGTCAAAAAAATACCATATAACAATAACGTGCCGTGTGGGAGTGGTCTCGAAGGAAAAGAATACATCAAATAATTTCATACCGTGGCTATCGTAAGAGCATGACATCAAATAGGTTATATCGACTGCATTCAATCGATATAACCATCTCATTTACGTCAGACGTAAAATCCCCAGACTTGTGATGGGAAATAAGCAGCGGCAACGGTGCGAAACGTCTGGTGCATGACGTGCTGGATTAGCGACCGCAATATGCAAATCTTCACAACAATAGTAGAAGCCTATTGCTATAGGGGAAGGCGGTGCCCTTCCCCTGCACTTCTCCTGCCACCGCGCAATCTTATGGTTTTACGCGTTTTTAAAATTTCATATTAAAAATCAAATATACTTTTAAAAATTAGTCGCCTTAATATGTTTAGCCGGGATTTCAAGGATAAAATACGGGCTATTAAAGAAGATCGACATACTTCGCGAACGCTTCTAAATCGAGACCATATATAGATATTTTCTTATACAGCAACTCAGCAATAATTTCCATTGCAGGCTTCGTAATTTCCAGTCCCAGTAAGTGGCAAGATTCTTTACAAATTGCCTGCACATCACGATGCAGTGACACGCGTGCTTTCTAAAAGAAATTTTCACAAGTTAGTACTGACGAAACCATATCACCATAATTACTACAGCAGCTTAAGATCCGTCATCATTATCATATCAATGTCCCCTGCTGAGCAGAGCCTCCCCATAAATTGCCTTACTTTAACCCTACTATTTGCTCCATTTCTATGGAGGGTAGAGATAAGGACTATTTGTGTGTATGAAAGTGTCAGTCGAAAGACGTTAACTAGTATACAGTAATCTATGGGCGTTAAATTAGGGTGGCGCGACAATAGTAGTAGGCTAAATTTTAAATTATTTTAATTTTAATTTTTAAATTAATTTGAATTTTAAATTAAAAAAAAATTGTTCAAAATTAGGGAACCAAGTTCATCAAAAACTCGATAAACGATAAAAAAATTGCCGCGATAATAGTAGCAGAGTAAATTTTAAATTCATTAATATGATTTAAATTTTTAAATTAATTTAATTTTAAAATTAATAAATTTTTGTTCTAATTTAAACAAAATTTCATCAAAAACAAAATGATAAAAAATTCACTAGTGTCAATTTTTAGATGAAAAAATAAAAATAATTAGTCTTTTTAAAATATTAAATTTTTTAACCTGGTACATTTCAATCCATCTGTAACTGCTAAATACATACCATTACCCTGTATCTACACTAGCTCTATCTAATCTGAAAGGTTTTTGAAATGTTATTTATCAGCTTACAGCTGGACACTTTTTCATCTTGTTCCCCATATGAGATAGTCCTCCTTATCTATAGAGTGTAGAAGTAAGGAGTACCAACTCCCATAGTAGAATAGTTGAAAAAGTGGTCATCTGTAAGCAGTAAATAACAGCTCAAAAACTCTCCACAACAGCGCTGGAGTAGCTACTGGGATGAAATGAACTGAGCAGTTGTCGCCGGTTAAGTGTGCTGCTAAACTGATCAGTAGCTCTAAAACCTAAAATAATTTTATTTAGTAAATATAACCTCGAAAAAGTCGTCTATCCCACCAATATTTTTCGGTGCGTTCTTTAAAATTTACCCCTAGCTATAATGACGCCACCCTTATTTAAGGGTTTTTTATGGACACTTTTTAATACACAGTCTGTACTCCTTACTTTTACACTCCATATCCTTATCCTTACCACAAAAGAAAACACAATTTATTTTTTATTATCACGCCATCTGGTTTGTCAATGCAGCACTAAAACGAGGTTTCATTGAGAAAGTCAAACTAAAAAGTGGATCTTTTTTTAAGGTTTTAAAATTACATTAGAATAATATATAGTAACCATTTTATAACCTACCTGCAATTTCGATAAATTTTGGAATGTTGTCATTTTGTCACAGTGCTTATAATAACTTCTTTGATATAAAATGTGAATTTCATAGAATAATGTAGAACTCTTACAAGAATATACACAAAAAAAACTTAATGAATTCTATAATTAATCTAAATTAACATTATAAATTATCACATTAACTATTATTATTATAGCGTTACTTTTACTTTTATGACTTTTATCCACTCTTGTTTTGTTTTGCTATGTATGACATATTGACATATGAATATGACGTTGACTTAACGTATGACATTATTGACATTGACAATCGAAGTTTATATTATTGTAATGGCATTAGCTGTAAGGCCTTTACCCAAAAATACATAGTCTAAATCTTTAAGTTTTTACTACCGAAACACTTGTTTCATCGTTAACCATTATTTTTTTGTATGCGTTAACATTTCACGAACATTCGTTATTGTATGAAAAAAAATGTGTCATCTTGTTTGAAGCGCACCTCCTGTCCTCCCTTAAATTCAAACTATAGTCAACCAAATATAAGAAATACCTTTTGACGTTTCACATTAATCATTCAGCAATAACTTTGCACAAGCGTACTCACACGATTTAAAATAACCATTTACGTAAATCCGAAGAAATATAAAGTTATCTATATTTCATTACAACGTGTATAGTTTTTTATCACCAATTTAAATTTTAATCTTTCAAACAAAGCAAAATATTGAAAAATAACCAGTATCAACTTTTTGTACTTGCCGTCGTTTCAATGATATGTCGCTATGTATATTACCGTAGTGTTTGAAGGATTAAAATTAATTGTTATGCGAATAATCGGCAAAAATATTCCAGTAATCGGTAAAAATATTCAAATTTTGAATAATTAATTTTTTTTAATGTATTATTTGTTTAATGAAATTTTTATTTTTAAAATTACTTAAATTTCATGAATCATGAATAAAACAAGTTTTTTTTTAATTTGTCAACATAAATTTGTGTAGGCAAAAAAAAATCATACACAAGGCCGCGATTTAAAAACTACTACGTAATTTCAATATCCCGCCATTTCGGGAACTTATTGTGCGTAATTTTGTGTTTGTCTTCTTATTTTGTGACTCGGCTTTAACTTTTTGGACTGTTTCTTCAATATTCGTTGAAGCATGTGCCCATTTCACATAGGAATATTCGGCAAAAGTGGTAGAAAAAACAAAAAAAAAACATTATTATGGATGACTTTGAAAGAGACATTAATTTTGACTGCATTTTTGAAAATCAAACAATGACAGCTCAACTAGTTGTACTGAAAGTGATTGAATAAATTTATTTTTAATTTAGTTATAATCTTAAATTTTTATAACTGTGCCTCTAGAAATAAGCTAACAAATACGTAGAAATCTTGTGTTTTAAATTATCCGTTTTTAATTTATTCTGGTATTATTCAAACCAAACTGTAAATGATTACCAACACGAAATAATCGATATCGATTTTTTTAGGAATCGAATATTGTACTTTCCCATTTTTTGGTTGGCATGCCTGGTGCAATAAGTCTGACAGCTGTCAAAAGGTATTTTTTAGATTTGGTTGACTATAGTAAGACTCACACACCATTTGTATTTTTTTACTCAGATCTTAGCAGATTAATTTTTATCATCATTGTCCATCAGCCACACTCTCTACATACTAAAATATCTAATTGATACCATACTCATTATATCTAATTAATACCAAATAATATAATAGTCACCAAAATAGGAGCAGAGGAAGTTCAAAATAATAAAATAGTAACCGACATGGAACATATAGATAAAGTCAATAATTGGGCATAATGTATCGCAACTAGACCCAAAAAAACGTTGTCTCGATAAAATTAATCTTGTTATACTTTAGGATTTGTTACAACTATTGAAGTGAAGTGTACCAAAAATCATATAATCACCATGTACTATTTTATACTCTGAGCACTAGCTAAGCACCATAAGAGTCTATACCACCTCAGCTCAAACTCTAATTTTGCCCCCACTTCCCCTAACATTGTACGTACTAACGGCTACTCAAGCTAAATTTTCTAGTATAACCCCTCATTAACCCTCTTTGTACGGAAAGCTTATACAATATGCGTTCAGCTAATACTGGACAATATCTCTCTGTAATATCGCCAAACATAGGTTCGTCCCGCAACAGATGCCACAGAAATTTGATTGAACAAATTGAAAAGGATAGTGCTATTACCTACCGCGTGCAAAACAAGAGACAGAAAGAGAGTGTGCTCGCTTAGAATAAAATAACGCAAGCGCCAAATCACATAATTGCTAATTACGAGAAGACCACGTAGATAATTGAAAAATAAATCGTCAAAATTTAAGACAATATTATTGTTACGCGGCTAAGTTGACATCTGGCACTAGCGCCATCTAGTGTCGGGTAACGGAGCGAGGGGAGAGCTTTCCAGAAAATGACATCACTAATCTTTCAACCGACAGCGCCATCTGTTGTCGAAACGAAGAACTAAGCTTCTGGAAGCTGACTCTCGGACTTTCGGCGCTTTGTCGATTGGTGCGCGTATTTACTTGAATGTTCTGGATGAGTCGGTACTAATGTGTATTTATAGGCGCTGCAAGGTGCGATCGGGGAAGTATTGAATTCGGCGAGACAAGCGAAGCTTCGGAGCGGAATAAAGTGAATTAGTGTTCTTAATTATTGGTGTTTTAAGTTTTAATTTGTGTAAAGAAAATTAAAGTGTTAATTTAGGTGATTCTATCGGCAATTTTTATTGTCACGAACCTCAAGCTCGTAACAATTGGTGTCAGAAGTGGGATAAAATCATGCCGATTTAAACTAAGGAGGAAACGGAGGGTGTCCGTACCCGAAGTCAACGCCAGCAGGAGACGGACCAAAGAAGATTTGGTGGTGCAACGCCGCAGACGTCGGAGGGCCAGCCGGCTGCAGGCCCGTCAGTAGCTCCTACATCTGCAGCACCTGATTTAGGTGCTCTGATGGTGATGCTGCAGGAACAGGCTCGCCGACAGGAGGAACAGGCTCACCGACAGGAGGAACAGGCTCGTCGACAGGAGGAACAGATCCGTCAGTTGAAAGAGCAGCTGCAGAGCGGACAAGAGGAACAGGCCCGCCGACAGGAGGAACAGATGCTCCTCATGAAGGACCTTCACGCTACCTTTGGGAAAGAGATAAGGGAGGTGAAGGATAGGGTTGCTCAACATAACAACCGCCTGTCGGAAACTGAAACCCGAATCGAAGAACATGAAACCCGAATCAACCATGTGAACAATCGGGTTGACAACGTGATGGCTGACGTGAAGAAAACGCTAAACGACCTCAAACTTGGGGATGGAACTACAGGTCCCGTAGTAGCTACAGCACCTTCGCTACGTGGATTCAAAGTGCCGCCGTTCGACGGGACTTCTTCCTGGTCGGCCTACAAAATCCAGTTCGAGGCCGCCATGGAGGCAAACGGTTGGAATAAAAGCCAGGCCACGACTGCACTCACCTTAGGCCTGCGCGACCAAGCCTTAACCGTGTTGGAAGCTCTCGGTAAGAAAGTGATCTACGAGCTACTACAGATCTACTACGCTCACCTAGAACACGTCTTTCGCGCGCAGCTTAAAGATCGCGTGCAACGCAGCAACGAAAATCTGCAGCAGTGGGCCCTTGAGGTGGAGAAGATGGTTCGAAAAGCATACCAGTCTGTACCTGCGCTCATTGAAGGGAACCTGGTGAACATTCACCGACGGCATCCGCGATCTTGAAGTCAGAGCTGCTGTAAGGCTGGGGCACCACGAGACGCTTAAGGACGCCTTGGCCCATGCACTGGAGGTGGAAGCCGTGCGGCAGGATCTTCGCTCCCATCGCGTCAGGGAGATTGCAGCAGCTACGGTACGTGACCGCAATAAAGGTTACAGCCCTAGGTGCTATGTCTGTGGGGAAAGGGGTCATCTTCGATCCAGCTGCCCTAAGCGAACCGTAGAAAGGGAAGGTGAACGATATCAGGAAGGTGGTGCGGCTACCAGCCGCGTCCAGCAGCAGCAGGGAAACGAGTAAAAGCCAGAACTGCGGGGCGGGTGCTGGCTGATATTAAAAGAGTCCCAAGGATCTCGATCTCACAAACCCATGATGGGAACAGTCTAATCATCAAGGGCGAGGTCAACGGAATGCCGTGTCAACTGACCATAGACACTGGAGACTCTCGTACGGTTGCTAGTTCCCAACTTATAAGTCAGTTCCTTGGGGACTCCGCATACAACCGAGAACGCATTAATTTGGTAACAGCCACCGGTCAGCGTATACCCGTCCGTGGAGAGAAGGAGATGGAGTTGAAGCCAGGCAACGTGATCTACCTGCATAATGTCATCGTGGCTGATATAATAGACGACTGCATCCTAGGCCTAGACTTTATGAGGAGTAATTGTTGTAAGATCGACGTTAAGCAAGGTGTTTTGAAATGTGGACAGGAGGAACTTTTTATGGAAGGTGCGTTACCAGGGAACGTGTACAGCATTAAGAAGATTGTTCTTCCGCCGAGATCGGAAACGATTGTTCCGGTTAGTCTTCCTCGAAACGCTGGGCAAGCCCACCGTTGTGTAGTTGTGGAAAGGGTAAACAATGACCTTCCATGGAAAGTAGCTCAAACCTTGGTCAGGACCACTGACATCTCAGGAGTACGTGTGCTGAACCTTTGCGACCGGGAACAGATTACAGGAAAAGGCACACTGGGTGGTACCTGTGAGGAAATGGATTGGTTACGTCGGTGCCAATATATATCGAGTGGGACCCCCAGCAAGGATTCAGAAACGAGAGTGACCACACTTTTGGAAGACTGTCGCAGTGTTCTCTCCGCGAACGAATTGGTCAAGGCAAAGAAGTTGTTACTCAAGTACGCCGATCTATTCTCATCAAACGATGCTGACATAGGAAAGACTGGCTTAGTTCAACACAAAATAAACACAGGAGAAGAATTGCCTATCCGTCAGCGGCCAAGAAGATTGCCGGCAGCACGTGAAAAGGAAGTGGAAACCATGATTGAAAGAATGGTGAAGGATGGTGTTATTGAACCTTCCTCTAGTCCATGGTGTTCACCAGTGGTGCTGGTGAAGAAGAAGGATGGCAGCATGCGGTTTTGTGTTGACTACCGCCGTCTGAACGACGTTACGAAGAAAGGACAGCTATCCCTTGCCAAGAATTGATGACACGCTGGACATGATTACAGGAATAAAGTGGTTTAGCACGCTGGATCTAAAAAGTGGCTACTGGCAAGTTGAAATTGACCCCACGGACAAGGAGAAAACTGCGTTCTCGACGGGAAAGGGTCTGTGGCAATTTAAAGTAATGCCGTTTGGGTTGTGCAATGCTCCAGCAACGTTTGAAAGGCTGATGGAGCTTGTACTTACTGGGCTAATTGGCGATGCCTGTCTGTTCTGTTTGGATGACATCATCATCGTGGGCCGTATGTTTGAAGATCACCTTCAGAACCTGGAACGCGTGCTCATGAAGATTCAGAGTGCCAACCTCAAGTTGAGTCCGAAGAAATGTTCACTATTGAGTTGTCAGTTAAACGGCAAGTCAACGTTTTGGGGTATGTAGTGTCGGAAGAAGGTATCCGTACGGATCCGGAGAAAATCGCCGCTGTCAAGGATTGGCCGGTTCCAAAAGACAAGACGCAGGTTAGAGCATTTTTGGGTTTGTGCTCCTATTATCGGCGATTTGTGAAGAACTTTGCAGATATAGCCAAACCTCTACATAAGCTAACCGAGGAGAAGCGACATTTCTGCTGGGATAAAAGTTGCAATATCGCATTCCAGGAGCTCAAGGACCGTCTGTGCAAAACACCTATTTTGGGATACCCTGATGCAAGCAAAGAATTTATAGTTGACACAGACGCAAGTGATATAGGACTTGGCGGTGTGTTGTCTCAACGGAATGGTGACGAAGAGGTCGTGATAGCGTATTTCAGCAAGTCATTGTCAAAACCGGAAAGGAACTATTGTCACAAGACGCGAATTGCTAGCTGTGGTAAAGTCGTTGCAGCATTTTAGCAAATATCTTCTGGGGCGGAAATTTCACTTACGAACTGACCATGCTGCACTAAAATGGCTATTGCAGTTTAAAAATCCAGAAGGACAAGTTGCGAGGTGGATTGAACTACTGCAGGAATATGACTTTGAGATCGAACTTCGCAGCGGGAAATCTCATGGCAGTCCTGAAGATTGCAAACTTTGTACTAGGCAAGAGAGTAAGAAAGTGGTATCCGTGAGGATGCTCAGGGCAGACCACCTCAGCAACGAGTGGAAGGACAGCTTACAACGTGCACAGCAGGAAGATCCGGACATCAAGCCGATTCTGGAATGGATGAAGGCCAGTGCTCCCAAGCCCAAGTGGAGCGACGTCTCAGCGATGAGTTCGACCACTAAAAGCTATTGGGCCCAGTGGGACAGCTTGTTGCTTCAGGATGGAGTTCTCTGCCTTAAATGGGAAAGTGTTCAGCTGTCATTTGCAAATGGTTGTCCCTAAAGCTAAAGTACCGGATGTTCTACAGCGGTACCATAATGATTATTCAGGAGGCCGTCTGGGAGTTAAACGAACTCTACTGAAGATCCGAGAACGGTTTTATTGGGTCCACTGTCGAAACGATGTCGAGGACTGGTGTCGCAAATGTACAAGTTGTACGGCTGTAAAGGGACCTCAGACTCGTAGTAGAGGTGCATTGAAGTTGTACAATGTTGGTGCACCATGGGAGAGAATAGCCATTGACGTGGCGGGGCCGTTTCCGGAGAGTGAAAGCGGTAACAATTATTTCATGGTTGTGATGGATTACTTCACTAAGTGGCCAGAAGTCTCCGCCATTCCTAATCAAGAAGCTTCAACAGTTGCAGATAAACTAGTTCATGAAGTCTTCTGTCGTTTTGGAGTACCTTTAGAGATTCACAGCGATCAAGGAAGGAATTTTGAGTCTCAAATATTCCAGGAAACTTGCCGAGTTATGGGTACTCATAAAACAAGAACGACTTCTTATCACCCGCAATCTGATGGAATGGTAGAACGATTTAATCAGACATTGGAGATTGGGATAAGCACATACAACCGTTTTTGTTGTCATATCGAAGCGCTGTTCACGAAAGTACATCAGTGACACCAGCTTTCGCAAACTTTGGAAGAGAATTACGGCTGCCTGCAGACCTAATTACCGGGATACCACCTGATGCCCCACGCAGCATAACCGATTATGCAAATGACTTGCGGAACAAAATGAATGACATTTATGAGCACGTCAGACAATCGAGCCAGCAAATATCTGAAAAGATGAAAACCCGGTATGACCGCAAAATGAACAACAAAGGGTTCGACGAAGGTTCACTAGTGTGGTTGCACAATCCGGTCCGCAGCAAAGGGAAATCTCCTAAGCTTCAAGCTAAATGGGACGGCCCGTACCGGATTGTGACCAGGATCAACGATGTAACCTATCGGATACAGAAGGGAGCAAGGGGGACTCCTAAGATCGTCTATGTGGATCGCCTGGCGCTTTATTATGGGGCCGATAATGTTCGGGACGAGCATGTCTTAGGAGGGGCAGTGTTACGCGGCTAAGTTGACATCTGGCATTAGCGCCATCTAGTGTTGGGTAACGGAGCGAGGGGAGAACTTTCCAGAAAATGACATCACTAATCTTTCAACCGACAGCGCCATCTGTTGTCGAAACGAAGAACTAAGCTTCTGGAAGCTGACTCTCGAACTTTCGGCGCTTTGTCGATTGGTGCGCGTATTTACTTGAATGTTCTGGATGATTCGGTACTAATGTGTATTTATAGGCGCTGCAAGGTGCGATCGGGGGAAGTATTGAATTTGGCGAGACAAGCGAAGCTTCGGAGCGGAATAAAGTGAATTAGTGTGCTTAATTATTGGTGTTTTAAGTTTTAATTTGTGTAAAGAAAATTAAAGTGTTAATTTAGGTAATTCTATCGGCAATTTTTATTGTCACGAACCTCAAGCTCATAATAATAGTATGAGCAATAAACAATATTGTTGCGTAAGTAAATTTCCAAGAACACGTCCGCAGGAGTCGAGCGCGAGTCAGTAACGTGACACTACTATTTTGTATCGACAATTTATTATGTTTGCTTACCTAGTTCTACCGAAATGGGAATGAACTGTGATTTTTCGTTAAATATTAATTTCAACCTTCTCGATTTTTTTTCTTTATAAATAATTTATACTGTTAACCGTTTATCAGCAATAATCTGTTTGTTAAGTCTTTTAAATCACTTGATAATTTTTTATGCAGTTTTAATATATTGTAAGGATAAGTAATTATATTGTAAGGACGATAGACTAAATTCGATCTGTAAGAAGCTGGGTAAAAGATGATAAATATGTCACCCATACATATATTTATTTGTTTGCTGTTTGTATAATGTTGTATTGATTTTATTTATAAATCTGTTTATTTTATACAATGCTATTATTTCCAGGTCTCTAAGAGATCCGGATATTAAGGGTAAATATATCCGGATATATGCTACTGGAAAAAAATTGGGTCCCGACAAATTATAGCAGAATTTGTGTCTATAAGAATATATGTGCTTTTTTAAATAATGTTAAAAAGTATGTGTTATTAATTAAAAACGTTTATACTTATCCTTAACGTTTTAATATATCCCCTTTTATCTAATTATAAAACGTCTAAAAGCGTCTATTACTGAGACATTTTCAGTTAATTAGTTATCTCTTGGTGTGAGACTCCTAGACGGCCAACGACACTTAATAGAAAGTTATCGATACGTGCATTGCGCTGCAGTATGTCCAAGTGAGAGTGAGCGCGCAATGTCATTCTCTGTTTCTCGCACACGTTAAATAATGGGTGCGTTTGGCAGAAAAAAGCGCTAGCAAGCGCTTATAAGCGCTGAAATAGTTTTCGGCCAGGACACGATTGCTACTTCAGTAGCGCTGACACAATCCGCCATTTTGCTTATTTAATTTGTTTCTTTTGAAGTAGAGTTTATAAGTTATTTTGTGCAATATTAGTTTTAAGTAATATAATGAGATGAATAAACATATACATGTTATTAAAATTCATGATTGGTAAGTTTTTAATATGTATACTTTACAAACATATATTTAAATTAGGTTAGGTTCCCCGGTTAAAACTAACGTCGTGTCCTGGAGGAAAATAGCTACTTACGATTTGACAGCGCTTACCGCTTACGATCGCCATTTTGCTTACAAGCGCTTGCTAGCGCTTTTTTCTGCCAAACGCACCCATTGACCCGAGTGGCTACGCCTCCTGAGATTTTTGGGTTTTTATAAAATATTCCTTAACGCGATAATTTATAGTTAAATCTTTGTTGCATGAATGCTAGAGATATGTGTAGGCGTAATTGTGTATTTATTGTTTATCTATGTGTAATAGCTGCGACCCAGCTACACGCGACCCGATATTGAAAGACAGTAGAAGGTATTTCTAGTGCCTTATTATTTAGATTTCTGTGGTAAAACCCTACGATTAGCCACAGTTTAAAGACAAGTGATTTAGCCTAGAAAGCATCTGAGTAAATACTAACCTTTTACTTATTTTAGTGGCCGGTTTATACTTACGGTTACTTAAACCATACTTTCTGTAATAACAGAAGAGGGCCATTAGAGCAATATATAATTTAAAACCAAAAGAGTCACTGAGACAAAAATTTAAAGAAATTAATATATTAACTCTGGCCTCTCAATACATTTATGAAAATGTAATGTACGTACACAAAAATAAAAGTAGTTTTGCGAAAATAAGTGATATTCATTCTGTAAATACTAGGAACAGACACAAGCTGGTAGTACCAGTTACTCGACTCCACCGAGTCAGTAATTCATTCTTGGAGCGATGTATACGCTTTTACAACAAAATCCCAGAAAATATACAAAATTTGTCATACACAAAGTTCAAAAATGTTATTAAACTAAGTTTGTATAAAAAGGGTTAGTTATAATATTAAGGAATTTATAGATGATAATAACCCCTGGGAAGGGTGATCGCTACCAAGCTATTTCTGATTTGTCTTGTGTTGTTGATTGTAAACATGATTGTAAGCTATTATTAAAAAAAATTAGTCCCGCTGGGTTTCTTGCTGGTTCTTCCCAGGACAGAGGTTTTTTTTTGCGAACCAGTGGTAAATTAAAAAAAGTGACTTTCAATAAGTATTTTTATAATCTACATTGAATAAAAAAGTTTCTATTTCTATTTCTATACAAGAAATATCCACTACGACATATCATCTCGTAGGTGTCGTAAGAGGTGACAGACGGAGACCAACCAGGAGATATGCCGCAGCGTTTTCCTAATAACAACAAAAAATGAAACTGTAGTTGCCAACCCGCTTACCAAGTGTGACAACTATGGCAAATGGCCGCCCTATGAGGCAGTCGATGGGGAGGCCTCTGTTCAGCAGTGGGCTTTATTAGGCTGTAACAGTAAGGGTTACTTACACTTACTGTTTTGCCTTAGTTTAAATGGTCAGCTTATAACTGACAATTTTTATGACATCTCAATTTAGTCTTTAGGGGTGGTACGCATCTGTACTTTATTTCTTACGTTTGGAAATCACAGCATAGGTATGTTGAACCACCAAATTATATAAATATACACTAACAGAAATGGCGTACCTAGGTTCAGAAATTAGGGTAAGATTGGTGGCTCGCGAAAAGTAAAAAAGATGACACATATTTTTACTGTTCTGCATGCGACTGTGATCAAAAATGTGTAATTCAGGAACTGATGCGACACAAAAATTCGTCTAAACATGAAGTGAACTGAAAAAAATTATAAAATCAACCTAAACTTACATCTTTGTTAGCATCAACATCAAAATTGCAACAACCTCAGCAGATGGCAAAGGCTGGTGAAATAAAACTGCCTTGTTTTGTTACAGAACATAATATTGCATTTAATGTTGCCTCCCATCTGACAAAATTAGTTAAATCAGTGTGCCCAGACTCGAAATTTGCTGAAAGTTTGTCTATGAGCCGAACAAAAGCTCGAGCTATCGTTGTAAATGTGACAGGAAAAACAGCTGAAGAAAACTTGATGCAAAACTTAAAAGAAAATTATTTTTCATTATTGGTAGATGAGAGTACCGATAAGTCGGCAATTAAGCATTTAGCTTTAATAGCTAGGGTAGTCAACACAAATTACGAAGTAGAAGATAAGTTTCTGACTTTGATACCAATTACCGAAGGTTCAGCTAAAGTTTTGTATGATAAAACTATCGAATATTTCAACGAGAAAGGAATCCCGTACAAAGAAAATATGTTAGGATTTGCGTCCGATGGCGCCAATGAATGTTTGGATCAAATAACTCGATAGTTACTCATTTGAAAAACGATATACCCAATCTTGTCACCATGAAATGCATATGCCACTCGTTTGCACTTTGCACATCGTACGCATGTCAAAAATTACCGAGGGGCCTTGAAGACTTTTGCCGTGAAGTTTTTAATCACATTCAAAATTCACCTAAATGTGTTGGGGATTACAAAACCTTTCAGGCATTTGCAAATATAAAACCTCATAAAATACTGCTCCCAGCCCAAACCAGATTGCTATTTTTGAACAACGTTGTGAACAGAATGTTAGAGCAACTTCCAGCTATCAAGTTGTATTTTCAATCAGCCGTTTTCACAGATCGTCTTCTTTCTGCTCAAGGAATTTTAACGAAATCTATGGAACCGACAACCGAGTTATACTTGGAATTTCTTCGATTTGCGTTACCAATATTCACAGATTTGAATAAATAAATGCAGGCAGAAAAAACAAAGCTGTACTTATTATATGATCACATTTACACAGCTTACTTAACAATTTTACAATGCTTTATACAGCCGGTATATTTAGAATTAACAGAAGATGATACCCAAGACATTTCGAACGCGAAAGAAAAGAAAGTACTAAGTGTTAATGTAAATGACATGCAAACCCATGTGTCATATGTAGGCGGAATGGTACCTAATTTAATCCGATTGAAAAAGGAAACTCGAGAGTTGGACGACGACCAACTTCAAAATTTTTACACAAAATGTAAAGACTTTTATGTTGAAGCAATAGTACAAATCAAACAAAGATTCCCATTTGATGACAAAGAACGTCAAGCTCTGAAATGTTTACAGATGTTGAACCCACAAACAATTTTAACTCACGATTTTAGCAAGAAACAAATAACTTCAATTTCTGAAATCTTGTATTATTTTCCAAATATTTGTCCGGAAGACGTAACAAAATTGGATAGAGAATGGAGAACTCTTTGCAACACCAACTTGAATTTGAACGAACCTGAGACGCTAAATGTAGAAGAATTTTCTTGATCATGTCTCCAAATTAAAGAAGGGCGATGGATCTGCAAGATTTCCCCTGCTATCAAAATTAACTAAAAAGTTTTTGTGTCTACCGCACAGTACAGCAACGGTTGAACGTTTGTTTTCAAGTATAAATCTTATGAAAACCAAACTTAGGAATAAACTGTCTACCACCACCATAGAAGGCACTTTACATACAAAATCAGAAATTAAAAATTGTTTCGAGTTTAATGCTACCAATGACCATTTAAAGAGATTTAATAAAAAAAATATGGACGATTTCAAGAATAAAAATGAAACTGAAAATGAAGAGGATGTGCAAATTGAAAACGAGGCAGTTTTATTAGATTAGATTGTAAATTTGTTAAGATTATTAAAGTTGATTTATTACTACAAGTGTACTTTTATTACTTTATTATGTTGTTTTATTGATTACTGCTATTAGAGAATACAAAATAAGAAAAACTGTAGATTTACAGTTCTGTAAGTAGAAATTTACAGTTTTCTACAGCTTTTTGAAAGCTTGTTTGCAGTTTTAGTCTAGATGGCAACACTGCTGTCAACACAGCGAATCGGGTTTGGCGATACCTCCTCGTACAAAATAAAGTTGACAGCCATTCAATTGTGTATTATAGTATTCTATGGTCTGTACTTATCAAGGCGCAAACAAGATCTAAATAGACTTGTCAGTAAACAGTTATTATACCAAATCTATCGAAATATGTACCTGAGAACACTTACAAAACATGTTTTTGACAGATTTTCTCGATAGTAATCGCTTAAATTCTTCCTCATAAAATGAAGGTAATAAAAAATACATGACAACAAAATACGTGGTAGAGCCATACTGCAATTATATTAGTAGTATAGTTGTAGCACGAATGGGTCGGCTCGACCGGGGAAGGACCACGCTCTCACAGAATACCAGCGTGAAATAGTAGCTTAATGCTGCTGTATTTCGTATGGTGAGTGTAGAGAACCGGAGACCCTTTTTACTAGAAATGAGGCATTCCATCTCAGTCCTCACGGGTGACAACGCATCTGCATTTTGATTTGTAATGGAAGATAGATGTAGATGTCTATGGGCCGCAGCAACCACTTACCATCAGGTGGACTGTGTGCTCGTTTGTCACCATATTCTATAAAAAAAAAAAAAAAAAAAAAAAAAATATCTGCATTGCTTATAACGTACGTCGATAAAATTAATAACAATAACGTATCATATTTAAATATAGAACTAGGAACTTTTTCACAAGCTTTTTGCGGAACATATGCCTCTCCAGAGGTGTAATAGCACCGTCCTGAGCCAGCAGAACTTCATGCATCTCTAACCTCACTCCATCGTCTAGTGAGGGATGGAACTACACTTCGGTCTTCGCAATCGGTAGACCGTTCTTTTAGCTATATGGTCAGCCTATTGCCATTTCAGCTTACTAATCCGTTAAGCTATTCCGGGTGTGGTTCTACTGCTGATTTTTAAGTCTATTATGCAGGGATATTGCGAGCATAGATCTCTCCACAACTCGCGAAGCGACCCTGAGCGTCCTATTTTAAGTCTATTACGCAGGGAAATTGCGAGCATAGCTCTCCACAGCTCGCGGAGCGACTCTGAGCTTCCTATTTTAAGTCTATTACGCAAGGGAAATTGCGAGCATAGCTCTCCACAGCTCGCGGAGCGACCCTGAGCTTCCTATTTTAAGTCTATTACGCAGGGAAATTGCGAGCATAGCTCTCCACAGCTCGCGGAGCGACCCTGAGCTTCCTATTTTAAGTCTATTACGCAGGGAAATTGCGAGCATAGCTCTCCACAGCTCGCGAAGCGACCCTGAGCTTCCTATTTTAAGTCTATTACGCAGGGAAATTGCGAACATAGCTCTCCACAGCTCGCGGAGCGACCCTGAGCTTCCTATTTTAAGTCTATTACGCAGGGAAATTGCGAGCATAGCTCTCCACAACTCGCGGAGCGACCCTGAGTTTCCTATTTTAAATCTATTACGCAGGGAAATTGCGAGCATAGCTCTCCTCAGCTCGCGGAGCGACCCTGAGCTTCCTATTTTAAGTCTATTACGCAGGGAAATTGCGAGCATAGCTCTCCACAGCTCGCGGAGCGCACCCTGAGCTTCCTATTTTAAGTCTATTACGCAGGGAAATTGCGAGCATAGCTCTCCACAGCTCGCGGAGCAACCCTGAGCTTCCTATTTTAAGTCTATTACGCAGGGAAATTGCGAGCATAGCTCTCCACAGCTCGCGGAGCAACTCTGACCTTCTTTATACGTTACGATGGCGAGGGATAATTATTCCTGTATTGTATGTGTGTTCTCTCGCATGTAACACGTAATAACGGCAAGAGCGTCTGTCGATGTGTGATTTGAGTACTTGAAATTACTTGTCTGTTTTGAATTTGGACATCATTTTTGTGAATTCAAGTTTATTACAGCTAGAACCTAGTGTTTCTTTAGATAATATAGTTATTGTTATTAGTTTTTCAATTTCATGCCGTAAATGACAATAAAAAGTTGAACTCATGATTCATATTACTGATTTAGACTTGGTCTCTTCGAGTCTAAATCAGTAATGCTTTATTTTATGCTAAGAACAATTAGTGTATGTATTATAGCTTGTAATTATTAAAAAAAATTGTTTATGCACCCATTTATTACAGACACTATTTACATTCTGCATCTCTCTTTGCTGGCCATAATATAGAAATTGAGTACATTTCATAAGAACTAATCAAAAACCAAATCAAAGTTTAATAAAATTATTGCTTAGTAACTAAACTAGTGTGTTGTGTTGCGTTAATGAAAGAATTTCGAATGAGCTCTTATGAAATCACCAATATATGTTTGACTATTTAATTTTTTGTAGTAATTTATACATTTCTTCCATAGCTCGGTATGTTTTAGAGAGCCACAAATTGGTTTTAAATATGATACTCTTCCATCAACAATATACATCGTACATAATTAAATATCTGTTAACATCTAATTGTATCTAAATGTAGTGGCAGTGTAAGAATATACACTACCCAATTGGGTTTTGTATGAAGCGATAGTTGGAAACACGTCAGATGCAGCAGCGTCTTCTTAATAACAAATAAAAATAAAAAGTAAAACTTCGGTTGCCAACCTGCTTGCCAAGCTTGGCAACTACGGTCAATATCCCCCCTATTAGGCAATCTATGGGAGAAGCCTATATTCAGCAGTGGATATTAATAGGCTGCAACAGTAAATATCTCATTACAGGTTAACAGTTAAACGTAACTCGCAACTTAATACTGCTGCATTTCGTATGGTGAGTGTAGAGATCCGGAGACACTCTTTTACTGAAAACGAGGCATTCCATCTTAGTCCTCAGGGGTGACAACGCATCTGCATTTTGATTCTTAATCGAGAATAACTGTAGATGTCTATGGGCCACAGCATTCACTTACCACCTGGTGGATTGTGTGCTCGTTTGTCACCCTATTTCTGTAAAAAAAAATTGCGACGTAAATATGCCATGAGGACTTATTTCTTAATCAGGAGATTTACCTTTTAAAACCGTAAATTGAGTTTAATTTGAATATAACTATACTTTGAGAATAATTTTATAATACCTTGAGAATAATTTTATAATGTATATAGGTATAATTTCTTTTATGTAAAACTAGCGAAAGACCCCTGGTTCGCCTAGATGGGATCAATTAATGTGGCGTTTAGACTTATGATAATCATCAAAACCATATATTCTATAAATTTCCGTATATTTTTTTAAAAACCTATATACATTACTGTTATTATTTACCCTAAGTCCAAAATCGTGTTAATTTGCCCCATTTTTATTTTACATCGACTTTGTAGTGGGGGTGTAAGAATATCTATTACCCCATAAAAACCCGATGGGCATCAGCGTCTTTCTAACCAGGAAAAAAAACTGCAGTTTCCAACCCTGCCAAGCATAGCAGCTATGATAAATATCACCCTATGAGGTAATCAATGAGGGAGATTTTATATGAGACCCATTATTTATTTT